AACTGCTGAAGAAGAAACTTTGGAACCCGCTGTCTGGAGGACCGGCGCAGCACGTTAGGTGGGAGACTCGTCAAACGGTAGCTGTGGAGGAGGGCCGTGCAGGAAGTGCTGGATCCCCGAGCGCCTGGATTTGTCAGTCAGGTCTTCCTGCACCTCTGATATTCTCATTTGATTGACAGCTTGGCCCCGGCTTGAGTGACACCTTGCTCTCTGGGAATCACGAATTTGAGGAAGGTAGGAAGGTAGGAAGGGGGTGTAGAGAGAGCATCCAAATGTGAGATAATAACAGACCTGTAGCTTTCTGCCACAAAGAGTGAGGAAATGAGTGAGAGGGCCCCAGCGCTATTCTAACCCGGCCACTACACGCGTGGGAAGGCTGAAGCTGATGTGTCAAGCCGTGTGTCCCCAGAGCCGTGCCTGCCGGGCGGTCAGGGAGAGGGGCCGTGAGCTGCAGGGCCGCTGGAGAGGCTGGGTGGGGTAGCTTGCAAGGAGGGATGGGTGGAAAACGCGATCTAAACACAATGGGAACCCTGCCAGGACACACCTGCCTCCTCTCCCTTCCTTTAAAGAAAAGACGGAGCTGCGTCGGCGCCCGTTTGAAAAGACTGATTAGGCAGGGCCGCTGCGCCCCGGAACTCCACGGCAGAGGCTGGAAGGAGCGCAGGCTGCTTTGAAAGCCCCGGAGCAGAAACGTCCTGTGACTGTAAGGACAAATAACTTTGGCGGACGAGAGTGCCGTGGTCACAGAACAAAGCACTGTAGAAGCACTCGGAGTCTGCCCCTCGTCTCCTTCTGTTGAACAGATCTGGACAGATGGGAGAGTGGCTGCAGCCTGTTCCTGCTCAGTGCGACTGGGTAGAAAGTAACTGATTAAAAAAAAAACAGCACCAACAACAAAAAATGAATAAAAACGTTTCTTTATCTGGTTTGGTAGACTCGGGGATATGTTTTTCCACCAACAAAAAAAAGGGTCATCAACTGAAGTAGATCGAATGTGAGTGTTTTGAGAAATGTAAACGGATATTAAATGAATTAAAATGCAAGCACGAATTTTTCTAAACATTTCAACAGGTTTACTGTACATTTACTGTAGTATGTTGTTTTTCAGATATCTAAAAGCAGTGATTCTGTTTGCAGTATTGAGTGTGAGGAATTAAGATGATCTGTTACTGACTGGTTATGGAGTATTTTGTAAGGAATAGGAGACGAACATTTTAGTTGAATGTATATAATTTACTAGTTTGCTTTTATAAGGGGTTTTCTTATTCATTATATACATTAAATATAATTAAAAGATGTCATACAATTAAATTAAAATATATTTAGTCCTTCGAATATTAAAAACGACAAGTGTTCAGAATTAATTTGCCTAATATTGTTTTCAAGCTGTGCTTCCTATACCATAAACTAACACACAGGTATTTGGCCAGTATAAATTAATCATCATGAAATCATGAATTGATTACCAAATTCATGTTGTTCTCATGAATCTCAATCATCGTAGTTTTGCCCAAGATTTTTATTTTATGGAATTCAGCTTAATGAAAAGAAACAGAAAGTCTGTTTTGAAAAGAATAATAAAATCCAGAGTGCATGTGGCCTGTGCAGATTATTTTCTCCAATGTGGAGATCTTGGCACTAGTACCATTTCTCCAGCAATTGCATTTACAAAGAAAAAAAGCTAATTACTGCAAGCGAAGACATCTTTTTTTTTCCTTGGGAAATATTTTCATTAAGGAAAAAAAGCCTGAACATTTGTGCTTATCACCAAGCTTCTCATTACATTTAACTTTTGAAGTCACCTTTGTAAAAAATGCTGGAGCAGTTGGCCTCAGGGAGTGTCTGTGGAAGTCTGGACGTTGCTGTGCAGGACTGTCCACTGGAGAATCGCAGGAATTTTATCTCTGCCTCACATAGTCCATCGCCGCGGCAAACTCAGAGAAAGCAATTAAAACCAGTGGCCTGCCTGCCATTTCTCCTCCTCGTGACGATGAAATCGCAGGGAAACTGTGACAGACTGTGCGGCCCAGAAAGTTTAGCTGACACAGGTTTGATAGTCAGCCCTTTGTTATAATACATTTTTAACCACATATTAAACCTGCTTTAGGTCACAGGCAACCTCTTGTAACCAATGTCACGAACGTAGCTTGAGTCATGAAAGACATTTTGAATTTCAGTTCTTAGCTGTCACTTGGCCATTTTCTTTTGTCTTAAAAGTATGTGAAGACACACCTAAGATGATCTGTCAGTATCTGTGAAGCCAAAGCCCATACTCCGGGTTCCTTCAAGAAACATATGGATGCGATTCTCGGCTCAGTTAGCTAGAAAGTTCCATAGAACCAGGTGGGCTGAATGATCTCCTGTTTGTAAGCTGTCTCTTGTTCTTGATTTTCATATAGGCCTTTTTTGTGCATGGCTAACATGTGCACTAACACCAATGAAATTCTGAGTTTTTTTTTAATTAAGTTCATCAGGTGAAGGCTTGTTTTGGTCTCATCATAGCACTATTAATCCCCTTAAAAGGCCATCTCAACGTCAACAGTACAGAATCATACGCTTCAGGGCACTTTAAGAGTCTGTGCTATTACAGACCACTGATATACCACAGTGCTGTGTACCGAGCTCGAACACATTCAGGAGAGGACAGATTCTGGTCCCTGGGAGAGGGCTATAAGAAGACCCTGCCCTCGGAGCTGTTGGTTTTTTTTCCATTCACTTTTAAAAACTCACACGCACGTACAGTAGGTCTCAATCCTCCCTGGACCAGGGCACTCGGATAGGAAAATGGCTTTTTTCTTCCTGCTGGTCTTGTTTGTTTTGCTCGTCCTGTAAGTGAGGTTTCAGGAAGCTCTGCCGGGGTCTCGTGTGACTCCCGTGTGTGAGGGGTGACACGGGGAGGTGATTAATGAGACCCCTCCTCTCACGTTGACCTGTGGGGGCCTTTCGACTGAGCAGCGCACTGGGGGGGGGGGTCAACCACTCGCCCCACTCACTCTCTCCCTGGACCGTCAAGGGCAATTTAACCCCCACTGCAGGACCCCAGTCTGGACTGGACCGGACAGGGAAGAGGGACAGTTCGTCTCCTCCTGCATGACCAGCAGGTCCCAAAGAGTGGGAGAGTGGAGATCAGGACTGTTGTGTGCAGCGGTTTCAGCTGCAGGCGTCTGGGCTTCTGTCTGCCAGGGTAGTGCTTCTTAAAACCAGACGGTGTTCGAGGTAGGAGCTAAAATGTCCAGATTATTATCTCACATGCAGACTGCCCTGGCGAGCTCGACGTTCTGGTGCAGTGGTGGTGTGCGTGTTCCGGGTATCTGCCGTGTTTTATAACTGCAACACTACTGTCCAGTCACATTTATGGGCTCTGTTTTCGAAACTCCTCTTACTAAGGCTCTGGCCCCAGAGCAGCACCATGCGTGCTGTAAGTGTGATATCACGGCTGCAGTTGCTACAGGTGCAGAGGGCGGAGCGGTGGCTCTGTGGCTAAGGATCTGCGCCTGTGACTGGAAGGTTGCCGGTTCAAATCCCGCGGCTGGCAGAAGAATCCTACTCCATTGGGCCCCTGAGCAAGGCCCTTAACCCTAACTGCTCCAGGGGTGCCGTACAATGGCTGACTCTGCTCTCTGACCCCAAGCTTCTCTCCCTGTATGTGTCTCCATGGAGAAAAGCTGGGGTATGTGAAAAGACGAATTCCTAATGCAAGAAATTGTATAGGGCTAATAAAGAAACATTATTATTATTATTATTAGGTGAGACAGGCCGGATTTCAGTGTCTCGTATCCCCTGGAAAGGCGCTGGAGTCCTGTTCCTCGCCCAGCTGGTGGTTTGCTTCAACGGGCGGCTCCTATCCCTGCGGCCACTTGTCAGGCCCAGTCATTGAGGGGGCATCGTTTTAGTGTTCAGGTGTGACCGTGGCGGTTCTGCGCGGGCTCGTGCCCCCGCCGGTTTGTCCCGCAACACCTGGGCGCGAACCCGGGTCTCCGGCGTAACGCCACAGGGAACCAGCCGAGTGAGCTAATGGAGACCTCCCCCAGCCCAGGCGGCTGAGGTCCCTGCTGCGCAGGGAGGGCGATGAGTCACCGTGTCCGAACTCGCGCCGCTCCACTGGGGCAGAGGCTCCGCTCTGCTGGCTGCAAGTCGGTGTCGTCACAGAGATCCTCCCAGAGTTCCTGCACAGGAAGGCCGGAGGAGGTGGACAACGAGAGCACTCGCATGCCTTTCTAACAAGCTCCAGCGCGGTTTCCAAGCTCGTGAATTCTTGCTCGTACGTCCCTCGAATCGGAGCAGAAATGGTGTGTTTATGGCCGTGCTTATTTTTCCTCTGTAAAATGTAGTTTCGCTGTCCACGATAATAAATCTGTAAAATGTGTCTGAGCAGCGGCCTCATTAATAAGGGATTCTGAAACAGATCCAAACACAACCGATGCTGTTGAGCTACAGGCGATTAGAGCCGTTTGTGCTGTTACGTGACATCCAGCCTCTCCGCCATGATATTTCAAGTGCGTCGCGTGTCTTTGGGTCTTGTGCCACCTCTGGTATCGGGGTCAGCTTCCCTTCCATGTCTGAAACTTCATAGCTGACGTTGTCTTTTATAATAATAGAGACATTGCCTTGTTTATTCAAGTGGGGAGAACATCGTCATCACCACACGTACAGAGGGCCCAATATCCGAAACAAGGCGTTTAATAATAATAATCATAATACAATAATAATAATTTAAGCTTTATTTATAAGGTGCCTTGAAAAGCAATTCTCAAAGCGTTTCATAGACAAGCATAAAAAAGATCAAACTAAAGGAACAGCAACGAATGTACAGTAGGAGATAAAATCAGCACAAAGAAGCAGGAGGGTCTCAGTGCCCTGTAACAGCCGATGCAGAGGGGCGGACGGAGAGCGGCTCAGGATAAGCCCGGATGCGAGGGAAAGCGGCTCTCCTCCGGGTGGGAATGGCGTCGGGACGGGGGGTGTCAGCGTTGCTCAGCCCTTCTTGTGTCTGTCCCTAGATCTTCCTGCTGGCGGTGTGGAACTTCGAGCTCTACATGGTCCCTCTGGCCCTGCTGCTCGTGCTGCTGTGGAACTACATCCTCATCCTCCTGGGCAAGGACACCCGGCAAGGTGACGTGGTGAGTGGCGGCTTGTGCCCACCCCCCCCTCCTCCCAGGGACCCACGGGCCACACCACAATGCCTTGTGGGAAGGTCTGCTGCCCCTGCGCTTTCCCCAGCGTGCCAGCAGACGAGCCGAAGCACTGGAAGCTAAGCAGATTAATGCTTTTTGTGGGGATGAAAAAAAAATGGAAATCTGGGGAACATTAAGTTAAAATCACCCACCCCCCCCCCATGAGCCTCCAACTTCCCTCAGTTTGGTCTCGTAACTCGCGGAGCTATCCATCAAACAGCCAAGGCACTTATTACACCGCGTCGGGGCAAGTTATTGAAATAATTTTTACAACATTTTGGGCTTTCTGGCCTCATGCAATGCTAGTTAAACGTGTAGTAAGCTAAAGAGTATTTGTGTGTTTTTTCTTTTGAATTGACAGTACATTCCATGTCCACACGTCAGTGATTTTTCATCTCAAGTTTGCGAAAGTGGGAGAACAAAAGAGATGTGTTTGTTTGGGTTTTTTTTGGCTTTGCAAGAATTTGTGTGCTTTTTTCGTGAGTCAGCTGTCGGTGGAAAAAAAAAATATCCCTGTAGATGTTCAACACGACCTTTTATTCTTGCGGGTTACGAACGAACGTGGGACTGCAAAAAAAATATTATCCAAAGAATTATCCATATTGCAAAAAAGAGAGGCAGTGGAGGAGGGGAACAGGGGCTGCAGTATACAGTGCCGCAGGTCACACCTGGTCCCTTCTGTGGCCTGTGGCTGTGGTTGGTACTGTAGGCGTCCAGGACCGGCACTGCTACAGCTGCAACACCAGGGCTTTCTGGGAAACTGAATACCAACAGGACCTTCAAATGGTACAGTAAATACTGTGCACTTAGTCAAAGAGAATGATGTCTGAGTGCACCAGGCCCCATTTCTCCTTCCCAGGTGACACAATATTCTTACTATAGAGAATGCTCTTGGAAGGTTCATGCTAAATTTGGTTTCCATTTTTTGTTTTTCAAACCTGGCGTTTGTACTGTTGTTTTACTGAATTGGCTTTCACCGTTGCGTTGAGATAATCTTCTCTTCTTACTTTGTACTGTACAGTTAAGTGTCCTGTCGTATTCGCTTGCTCTCCAGCTCTGTGCCGGCTCTATGCAGCTCAGCACTGACGGGGACAGGGCTGGGGTGACTGGGGTGATGCGCAGTGAAGGAACCTGCTTTAAATCTGGTATCTGGCGAAAAAAACCAGTAAGGCCGATCTGTTAGCTGGCGTGGCAGCTGTTGAGAGTGGAGCGGCCGTGGAAAACAAGCGCGACCCCTCTCCTGCTGCATGAGACAGCAGCAGTCCGAGCGCTGGCATCTCCGCCCGATTGTAAAATTAAATCGAAATTGATACACCGTAGTTACACATTTATTTTTTCCCCTTTTCTTCTGTGCCTCTTAAGACTACTTATAGATTTGTTTTTCATGTCTTTCGAAGCTGCGTACATTTTGTTTTAAACTTACGCAAAAAAAATCATCGCGTCACCTAACCTCGGACCTTAGTATACTGTACATTTTACGAGTTTGACGGGCAGAATTGTTGACGGTTTTTTGGTGGTTTAGTTCTCATGTTTATACATATTTCACGGTAAAGAAAAAACGTTTTGGCGTAAAACACAGGATGTTGTTCCGGCGCTGCTGTTTTATTTGGAATTTGAAATTTAGGAATCTGAAAAACAGCTTTTTTGTGTGTGGTACTACACTACATTTTGAGAAACTGTCGCGTAATTGCTGTACGTATTTCTCTAAAAATGAGTTTAAAAAATAAGTCAGCCTTTCGCATTCATTACATAAATGTTATCATCGCGTTTATAAACTTGCGCACACAAAAACACACACATTATATATAGCATGTAACGTGCGTTAAAATATTTCTCAGCCACTGAGACCTTAACAAGTCGCCTGGTTGTAGCAATACAGAAGGGTCCGTTTAAAAATGGAGAGTATTTGCCTTTAAGGGTGACAATCAGTCGCTCACCTGTTTTTTTTTTCGGTAACATTTGTCAAAACAATGTCATGCAGACTTTTTCATTTTTAATCATTGGGATGCACCTTTATGAAACTGGGAAGGCATAAACCAAACTGAAATGCGAGCCTTTCCAGGAGCAAAGTGGTGATTAATTTTAATAAGCAGCCTTGCAAAATGGGTTTTAGGCCCCTAATTAAGAGACCACATTTTTAATAATAATCTTAATTTTTCATGAATACACAGTTAAAGAATTGGTACTGATATGTATTAGATAATGGTGGAAACAAAAAAAAATGTAATTTTTCACGGCTGTATGAATTTAAATAGGGCATTATCTTTACGAAACAGGATTCATGCAATTTAGCAGTAAATGAGAAATGGGTACTCTTTAACACGGAATGTGGCAAGTATTTTTAACTGTGGGATTCTCACAATAACCATCAAAACTATGTTTAACATCAACATTGGGCTGTCATGTACTGCCTGTGAATGAAGATATTACAAAGTAAACCACTGCTTTGAGTTTACAGACACTGGGCAAAAAAGAGGAACTTTGTTAACTAATTCCATTAAACATTTGTGCAATGCCGTATGTGCAGAGACTGTAATTCCTCATATACTGTATAAACAAAGCAGGACACCCAGAGACAGACTCTTCATATTAAGTGGGTGAGACACAGGTAAAAGGCCAAATGAGTTTTCAGTGAGTCTGGGGAAACTGCACACCACCTTGTCAACGAGTGGCAGGGTGTGTCATTCTGTGACCTCACCTTCACACCACTCTCCCATGCGGGCGTCCGAATCCCACACCTGCTGCAAGACCTGCTGCAAGGCACGCTGGGAAATGTGTTCCTGCAGATGCCTTGTTATGGAGTCCCGCCAAGGACAGCTCAAGTATTGTCTTTCGGATTTCTGTCCCCCTGGTTGACCAGGCCCTGGGCTGGTGTAAGTCTGGGTGTATAGTGAGTGTAGAGATACCATTCTGTGGCAGAATACAGCCGGAGTTTTCACCTGACACCACGTTACTCGGTAACTCATATAGTTAGGTTTAGTCAAGTCTTAGTTAGTTGAGTTACGTTAAAGTCGTTACACTACAGTAGGTTGCTGGCGCTGGTGCCACCCAGCTCTTGAGTCCTGGGTTTGATTCTGGATGAGGATGCCTTCTGCGTGGAGTTTGCATGTTCTTCCTGCGATGATGGCTATTACTCTGAGTGACCCGGGTTCCTCCCACTTCCCTGCTGTCAGGGCTAATTGGTGTCTCTTGATTGTATGTCCTCTTCTGTGTGTGAGTGACACATCAGATCCACAGCCAGAATGCGATGATGCCCCGCACCCCCGTCCCGGCCAGGATAGGCACCAGCACTGCACAGCTTCGTAGGATGAAGAGGCTCTGGACAGCAGACGTTTGGACAAACTGAACTTATTTATTGATGACTTTGAAGGTTTTCGAACACTGAGTCAGCAGAATTAACAGGGTAGTGCCTCGGAACTCCATTGATACGGGTCTTTCTGCAGTGTCAGCGGTATCAATCGACTGCGTGTCCTTATTGCCCCTTCCCTCTCTCTTTCTCTCTCTGCACTGTACGTACAGAAAGAGAAAGAGAAGATTGTGGGTCTGTTAAGGATGAAAATCTTGTTGATTTCTTCACGGTTAGAGCCGTTTTACTGCTGCTTCTCTAGGAGGGAAGCTGTGATCACAAAGCGCTTGTCACACTCGTGGGGTGAGCAGTCTGAGTGCTGAAGACTCCTGGTGTGGGGTTCGACTGGGTCGTTGGCCGGACGTGTATCTGCGAGGTCTCTGTCCGTCGCCCTCGGCGTGTCGGTCTTCTGGAAGGGGACATTGCCTGAGAGCACGCCCCTCATCGCCGGTTGGGAAAGGATGATACAAAATCTGAAGCTGAAGAGCAGTTCAAGGCTTGGCAGCATGACACCAAGTCCCAGTGTCTCGGCCTCTGAACGACCTCACTCTACACTGTGAGACTGCAGGGAAGGGCAGCCTCACTGTTTCAGAGACATGACTCACCTTCTAACCCCGGGAACAAAATGACCATCTGACAGTTCCCAAAAGGTATAATCATCTTGCTGCGTCATTATTGTTCCTCCTGTGTTATCACGTCCAGGTGTGGTGTACTGTATGTACCTCTTTGTAATTTTTTTTCTTTTGCAAACCAAAATAAATGATATTTCTCTGCTCCGTAGTTTGCCTCTACAGAGACGAGAAATCTAAAATTTCTTTGAGAACTTGTGCAACAAAACCATGTTCCCTATATTATCCTTCACTAAAACACAATTCTACAACGCCCTCCCGTCTCTTTTGTGTAAGTCTAGATTGTTCAGACAACATGGCAAACAAATTCCTGTAGATGGAGACATTGTTTGCAAAAAATGTTTTTTTTTTCTGCTTGAAACAATGATGTGTTTTCTTACAGCAGGAAACAATACATATGCATGTATGTATTTGTTTTCCTTGCAGTTATAAAGACACAGCTGGGGGCTGTGCTATTATTAACGACTCTTTTATAACCTTTGTGATCTGGACGATGTGTGTGTGCGCATTACATCCGTTTGCATTGAACTAAAGTGGTTACAGTTCATTTTCCATTAAGGTCCAGCGATAAATTCGCTTGTCTTCTGGACTGACAGCAAGGAACCAGGGAATGGCAGGCAGATAGTTCAGAGCGAGGTTATGAATATGGCTAGCTGGATGTGAAACACATGACTATGAGGACTGTCATTAGCTGCCTTCCTTCCTCCATTGCTCTGCGTTTAGACGACTGTAACCACAACAGACAAGGGGAGTGAGCTCCAGACTAGGTCCTTGTGAGGCAGGGAGAGTTACAGTAAACAGACACGGAGGCGTCTGGTTCCGATTAAATCCAACAGACTGAAGAGGAGACTCGTTTTCAGGAGTAATTAAAAAGGAAAGTTAGTTTATGATCGACCCGAGGAGGGGGGAGTTCAAAAACATTCTGCTCGTTTGTGTTGCTGTTTTGCTTTGGGGGAATGAGGGAGGTTGGG